CATTAACATAACATTCAATCAAAGTATCAAACACTTAAAATAAGAACTTTCCATTGATGAAACGGATCATTACCGTTACATAGAAGTTACATTTTCTATATTCTACCCTTGTTGTCCATTTCTAAATAAACAAAACCGCCTGGGCGGTACGAAATTATCTACACAATAACTGTAGAAAAATAAAGTTTTTATATCAGGGTTTTACACCTTCTCTTGCTGCAGCCTTAGGGATACAATTCTGGATAAGACTCGTACTCGCTTCCATCTAGTTGCACCACGATAAAGTATTGGACTTTTCCCTATTCAAACAGAGAAGAAACAAATCCCACAAGCACTAAACTACTAATATATATCATAATTTGAAATATTTTCACGAATGAATACCTTTTTATCACGCATAAGCTGGAGATTTAACAAACTTCGGACTTTTTGCCTGATAATCATTACAAGGGGAAAATACATCATTAAAAATATTTGGCCAATTAGTTTACTAAATGACAAATGGAGAATTATGAACTTTAACAAGATACGATATAGTATGACTTTAACAAGATACCATATAGAAGAACTTTAACAAGCAAGGTCACCATGCATTCTTCAAATTACCTTGGACAATCCTTTTAGAAATACCAAAGTAAAGTAATGCTAATTAGATGTTGACGAAACCTGTCAAATCCCATAAACTAAAACCAACTCAAAGCAACATTCATAAATGGGGGTTAAAAAATAGTATCTGGTTAGACAAGCTCAAATATTTGCTGAAAGTTAAAAAAAGACAGCACATGTTCAAAAGCAGCCAACAACAAATGAAACGCAAAGATCCGAAAGGCACTAGGAACTTCTGCAAGCACAATATGAAATATCAGAGCAATTTAAGAGTATAGAAAAAGAATTAAGACCATCAATTTGTACTAATAACAGTATGTATAATTAACATACACCCTCGGATATTAAGCATTCAAACTAGCCAAGTGCCTAGTATGTTGGAATCCAATATCTGTACATGGCTAATCCTAAGCATTTGAACATATAAATAAAATTTCATTAGAACATAGAGACACAATCAAGGTAGGTAATCTCTTTTCACATTTTTATAATTTTCTTAATCAACTGGAGTAAACATCAGTTTTAATAATCTTTTTTTTTTATATATATTTTCATAATTTTCTGAATCGGGACATAATCAGCAGTATTATTATGAAATACTTGATAAAACGAAATAAAAAACAAAGTATTTTTCAAGTAACAACAAACAAGATTCAAACAGAACTTATAATTCAAGATTGTGTCATTTTCAATACACACAGGCTAGCTAACAAATATACAAGTTCTTCATTATGATTCTTCTAACATATGCTATCTATCTTCAAAGAGACTTGGTATATTCTTTCTATTTATATTAGAAGGATGTACAATACTGGATTTCAGATTGTTGAATACAGTTTCTTACTCCGTTATTGCCGGGGAAAGATATTTGTGAAATATGCACATCGCCTTCCATTCAAATAATTTATTGAAACTTCAATACATTAAGCAAAACATATTTTAACATTACTTGCAACTCTTTGGGTTTTCTATTTATCATATCAAGGGGTCATACCTTCATAGACATGAGGCTTCTCAATGCAAATTGTTGCATAAATGTGAATTAGCCAACTCTAAGAATCAAAATTTCCAATTGCTTGTAAGGTCAGTGGACCCAACCCACTACTGTTTCAAATCTGGGTGCAAAATAAATTCAAAAACATTGAAAGTCAAAACAAATTGAGTAGCCGACAACAAGACAAAGCATCTTAATATAAATTCAAAAAAAAAAAAAATCAATACGAAATAAAATAAGGATTCATAGATTACCCAAACAAATAGGGTTATTTACCTCATAAGACATTAAACACTCAAACCCTAAGTCATAAAAAAATCAATCAAAAAGAATATACCTATTTATAATTAGGGTTTTTTAGATCTGCCGCTCTAGGGCTAGAGACGACAACAGTGGCGTCATTGCGACTGTGACTGGTGGAAATTGGAGTCTGAGACAGATAATAGTGGTCGGCGAACACGAGAACATCAAATGAATTGAATTAGCACGGCAAGATGGGACGACTAATGGCGACGAAGGGTTGAAGCGGGATAGAGAAACTGTTGGTTTCTAAATGAAACTCGAAAATAATAAGAAGATCGTGTGAGAATAGTTCACACGAGTCAAATAAATTAATAAATTAAAATAACTAAATAGATTTTAATAAAATTTGAAGGGTATAAAATCATTGAAGAAAGAAAATGATTTAATTTTATATTAGCATTGTATTGTCTCCCGTCGCTATATTTGTTGCAAACTAGTTACTTTAGAAACGAATTTGATATCCGTCGCAACTTTCCGTAGCTATATGACCGAAGGGACATATTTCTTGTACGTCGTTAAATCTATCGCTAATTGTTCATTTCGAAACAGATTTACTATCCGTCGCTAGTGTCCGTTGCTATTTGGCGTTTTTATTGTTCTTCCACCAATGGGATTACCTATGTGGGGAAGGTGATTTGAGCGAGATACCCGACTGTTAATTTCATCCTCTCCACCATTGTGTGGAGGAGCTCGTTGGCGAGAGGTGTTGCCTCTTGAAGGTGAACGTGGGTCTTGTCGCCCAGTTCGTGCATCTTGGCGATGAGTAGGTTGTTGCATTTGAGACCTAGGGTTTGAGGTGGATGCGGTATCCACTGGCGGTGGAGGATGTTGTGGCACAGGTAGAGATGCAAGGGGAGCGTTGACTCCCGTTGTGGCGATGTATTGTGCCACTGCTTCAGTGGCAGCACGAACTAAAGCTTCCGCAATCATGTGTTGGAGGGCCTCTTCGGTTATTTGAACCGTTCGGGAAGCATGGAGCAGTGGAGCAGGTAGTGGAGGATCGACGAGTGGTGGATCCCGAGGGGGATTCACCTGAACCTCGCGAGGTGGATCCGGAGCACATGGAGGAGGTGGCAAGGCAGAGCCTCCGCGAATTGGCAGATTGTTAGCTGCGTCATTCTCTCTCTTAGTGGATGACTCAGGAGCATCTTGCAGGTTACGTGATCTGGTATAATTTCCCACATATGCCGTCATTATGATGATGCTAGAAATAGACCACCTTAAGTAGTTGAGATAGATGGAGCTGAGAGAGCAAAGTGGATCACTGCTCACGTGCTAGATGGCCCTGAGATACCTGCGAACAGAGAACACGTGAACTAGGCCGGGGTTGATCCGGCGGAAACCCCTCCGACTCAGACGTGCGGATTGTAGAAGTAATTGAGAGAATATGAATTGTCCAATTGACTAGATAATAGGGCGTACCTTTAATAAATGAATTAAATCGTTATTTATACCTTTTCGATTGGGTCGAGGTTAATTTGTTGGGCCCAAACCTTATTTGAAGGTAATTGAGTTTTCGTAATTGTGTTCTTCTAAATCGGACTCGTGGCCCAGTGGGTAGAGAGATTGTAAGCTTGCTGGACCTGACCCATATCAAAATATATATATATATATATATATATATATATATATATATATATATATATGTGTGTGTGTGTGTGTGTTACGTAGTATATGTTAAGTTATTGATGAAATTGAAATGCAGTACATCCTGAATATATCAAACTATAAAAAATGACATGGTCTTTAAAATTAAATATAATATCATTAATATGTATGTAATAATGTAACTTTCATATATCGACTATCCTTCGAAAAGTATAGAAAAAAATCAAAAATAACCATCATACTAAAACGCTGAAATATTTAAATTTTCAAATATCTGATTTATTTTGAGTTAAATAGTATTTTTATTTTTTTACCATATTTATTAACATGGAAGCTCGAAAGAAAAAAAAAAAAAAAAAAAAAAAAAAAAACAACAACAATCTATCAAAATGGTGACCAATGCTATTTAGAAGAATTGGTGCATAGACTTTGATTATTGAAACCTAAAATAAAAGAATTCCTCCCGTCTCATACTTTTCTATTTTTAACATGATTTGAATTTAAAAAGAAAAATCATTTATATGTCATTCTCAGTTCTCACACACAAATACTAATGCACAAGCAAATAAAACAATAAATTCATTAACTACATTATTATAAGTATAGGGATGGCAATCAATTTCCGTCCCTCCCCGTCTCAAAATCTGCACTCCAATCCTTGTAAAAATCCTAAAAAAATTATAAATACATGTATTTTTTTCACTCAAAATATTCTTGTGAAACGAGCTAGAAACAATAATTAAAAATATCACGAAAATAATATTAAATTAAATTTATATTCATGGACGTGAACTAAAGACAATAAAAATTAAATTTACTTTTATGGAAATAAGATTAAATAAAAAAATAATTTAAAATAACAGTTCAATTATTTTACGGGACGGGGCTACGGTACGGGATGCGGGGTGGGTACAACAAAACCCATCCCCACCCCGTACCCAGTCTAGATTTTTGCATTAATCCCCATACCCGCCCTATATTTTTTCAAGGCGGGTATTCCTTACTCCCTCCGTCCCAATTTAAATGACGTTTTGGGTTGTTTCACACATATTAAGAAAATCAATAAATGTGTATAGATTATAGTAAAAAGCATAGGAAAATACTAATATATCCTTGACATTAATTGTTTTACAACTAACTAATTAGGAGTTATAAAGGGTAAAATTGAAAATAGTGCAATTAATGATGTATTGAAAATCTAAAATGACAAATAATTTGGGACAAGAAAAACTCTCTAAAAAGACATATAATATGGGACAGAGGGAGTACTATTTTCGGGGCAGGCAAAGAGTATCCACCGGAGCGTGTCAAATTACCATCCTTAAGAAAAAAAAAAGGTATTATTTAAGTTAGTTCCCAGTCATTGTCTTCCTCAAATAAGTAAAATAAATTAATCTCTTCAATGCCCCGTCCCCCTTAAATTAATTCCAAATCATCCAATACTTTCTATTATATTATATATATTACATAGAATTAGTAGATGATAACTTGGCTCAATTGGTCAAGTTCCTTTGTTTTGCCTCAATTTAGCACCGTCTAATGACGTGGCATCTCTCCATTGGTTTAATCGTAGGGCCCAAAAATATTAGTGTGACGTGGAGTTGCGGATCTGAGGCCGATACTGAACCGGATTTAAAAAGAACATTTCACGTCCAATCTTTGCCTACAAATAAAACCTGATCGGGCCCCTTATCTCTCTATTTATTTTCGGAGTTCGGGAGCCTGTGCAGGCGAAGACATTGTATTAGGAGATAATTCTTCTCTCTAAATTCTCTCTCTAGAATTTACCGTCGATAACATCAACCAATTCGCATTTTAGAAGTTAATTTGATTGCGGTTACAGTGAACAATCCCCAATTAATCGAGGAGCTTTTGATATTTGAGAGATGGTTAATTCCGATAAACAGCAACCGATGAACGGCCGACGTACCGATGATGTAGATCGGGCGGATCAAATATCCGACGGCGACGGTCCGGTCAACGTTTCTTCTAGCGGCGGCGATACGCCGGCGAGCGCGAATCAATCGGTTACGCGGAGGTTGAGGGAGATATTTGTGGAGGATGGAGATGGGGATCTGCTGCTGCAGAGGAGTGACAGGGAGGACGGTGTTCTGCAATGGCTTCGCGCATTGGACATGCAGGTTATGGGTGCTTGCCGAGCGGATGAGAGGTTAAAGCCTATGCTGAAGCTAAATGTTTCCACCGGCGTAGCCGAGGACCGTCTGCTGGATCACCTTAGTCAGGTATCTGTGATCAATCAATTATTCGTTTGTTCTTCGGCAGTTACTGCCGGTGTGAGTTCTTATGGCCCAAGCATTCTGGTTTTATCTTTTAGCTTTTCTTTGCTTTAGTTTAGATTCTGAGTTATTCTGTTAATACAAGAGGCCTTCTCGTGTTAGGGATTTTTTAGTGCATTTTATACCGCCCTCTTACATATCTTGTTCAATGAACAGCACTTTGAGCCGTCGGAAGTTGGTATGCTAGCGAGGTGCCTGTGCGTACCTCTGGTTTCTATTCGGGTTGGAAAGATCAGCAAACAAGGAACATTCTTGTCTCCAACATCTATAAGGTAGTTGTGATAACTTGTATTGTTTTTCGGGAACATTTCCGTGCCTTCAGAATTTCATTACATGTCATGGCTTAGAAGATAGAGGTTTTCTTCTGGGACCTGATACTTGCTTTTGTTGCCCGTGTTCCCTAGGATAGGTAGTTTCTTCTGCATATATGTCCATAGATCAGTAGATTTGTTGAATACATATAAGAATAATTAGGATGACAAAATTATTTCTTCTTTTTGTCCATGATTGGATTGTTTGCTGAGCTATGATAGAAGCTAAATTTTTAGACGGGTTATATTTCATACATTTTCCTTCTTTATTTTGATTTCCCTCTGTGGGGAGTCTGTTGTGGGGAAACCATGAAATATGTGAAATCTAAGTATAAAATGGTTGATGAAATATTCATCATGTATTGAGAAGTGTTGAATTGTATGTTGATCTTGCATGGTTTTTATTTCATGCATTTTCTTCTTTGTTGTCTCCTTATCTGAGAGTGAGCTTGTGCCACTTTTTGATCAGTAAAGGCAATTGATAGAATTAAGGCTGTATGTTCTCCCACCCTCTGAAATTGGGCTAAGAAGTGCAATAAGAATCAATTTAAATGATAATATAACTATGAATGCTAAGTCGCTTTGTTGTGTGATTGATTTACAAGCCTACATGTAACACTCGACAATTTTTTGGCTGTCAAATATCTTGTTATTTGCCTGTTGGTATACATATATTTTATTTTACTTACCCTTATAACTTATTTGTATAAAATGCTCATAAAAACTAGCCTTTTTGTAGTTGTCTTTGCTGATTTTTCTTTGACGAATGTTAATATTTCCAATAGGTTTAATTGTTGCTAGCATAATTATCTGCGTACCCTCTAAGTCTAAGATAGGACTAGAGTGTTATATTATGATCTCTGACCACTAACTTTGTCTAGGGTTTATTTTTTCGGTGTATTATACATGAATTGCAGACATATATTAATCAACTCTTGATCGGCACTACATCTTGGTATGACTGTTCATACCTAGGAGGTGCGTATGACCTCTGGAGACACCTGGGAAGGTTGGTGTGGTACATATGTTTGTGGTATTGGTACAATGGAATTTGCAGTTCATCGTATCTGATGACCTTTTATGTATCTCATGACATTGATATCATCAAATACATATATATTATTCTACTCTGTATTACAGTGTCATATCACCTCTACATGTCCTTGCAATATTTACTGTCTTTAGGCCATGATATATGCTGTATGTAGTTGTGCTTCTTTTACAAGGGAAATTACTCTTCTATCTATTCTTATATTTTCATGATGCCTGAATACAATGGATGTTGTAATTTAGATTGTTAATGGTAATATTTTTCGTGCTTCCAAGTGAAAATATCTTTTGACTTGTAGGTAAATTGGGCGTATACTATTATGATCTCTGAATTAAGAAGAAGTTAAGGTAGATTCATGCTACTACAGTAATACATTATATCATGCCTTGACATAGTTCTTTGTCTTCATATATATTGGAACAATACATTCTCACTCTGATGCTTGATGCTGCTGTTTATATTGTTTTTCTGGCCGTAATATATTATACTTCCCTTTTGATATATCATACTAATATGCACTCTTTTCCATATTTATACCTTTGGTTTCCCTTCCCATTAACTCTCTGTTTTCGTTTTGGGATCATAGGTTTTATTTGTAATATGCTACTTTTTTTATGGCTGTAAATGTTGAAAGTTTGCGACTGGTGTTCAGTTTCTTTAAAGTTTTCAATGTGTCTAAATTAGAGTTTTTTGGTCAATCATGTGGCTATATTTGGTTGCCATGTTTCTGTCGAAGCATAATTAATATGATTCATAGTTCTTAAAATTTATAACACCACCATAAATATATTTTCATCAAATTTGTGCGGGTTTGTCATTGATGCTAGATTTTTTATTTTTTTAGCTTTATCTAGCTCACCCTGCACTGTAAAATATTTTCATAAATTTGTGGGATTTTTTTTTTTTTTTTTTTTTTTTTTTTATATAGCAATGTCTAGCTTGCCATCTGTTTGGTTTCATCTTCTCTGCAGAAACAAATCTGCCTGAGATCTTAATAGTCAATTGGGCTTTTGAGAATATATATGAAAGAAAGCTAAGAATTTTACAGCCAACACTGAAAAATATAGGATAGTGGATCTTTAGTTACATGTGAAAAGTAGGAGGGGTAATGGAATTGTAAATTAGGAAGTTCAGACATCACACCAATGAAATATCAGGTGAATTTAACAGTCGAACTTGTGAAGTCTGGAATTTACACCTCACTCCAAATGTGGCTACATTAAATGAAAAATTAATTAATGTTACTGTAGGCATTGTAAATGAGCCATATTCTTAAAATCATGCACCCAGTTGAAAGTGGTTTGATAGGTTTCAAAACTTGAATAATTAACTTCGGTTCTCATTATCTCGGTTTCTTGTTATAAGTTGGAAATCAGGAAAAAGAAAAGCATTATAGAAAAGCATAATCTCACATGAGGATGGCTAGTTTCATTTACTTCATAAAGTACCGATAGTTCTTTCCTGGCTTTCCGTTCTTAATTTTTTTGTAATTATTTGAACAGGGGAGATTTATGTCTCACACTCTTGCCAACTTCTGATCTGCGCATATTATTCAATGGGGGTGATGGTTATATGGAGAGGCTGGCAACTTTAAGCACTGAAGCTAAGTTCACTGATATAGAAATTGAAGGGATCTCTGAAGACAAATCTGGAAGGTCTTTCTTGATAAAGAGCTCAGATAATGTAGTTTCTTATTTTTGGTGCTCCGAAAAATCTAAGCTTTTGGGGGACGAATTATTGGGAAAGGTAAAATCGTTGAAGAATTCATTTATGTTCAGTTATATGGTTGGGATAAGTTTCTAACTTATTTTAATCTTGTGTGGCTTAGATGAAGGATTTGCTTGTGAGAAAACCTACACTGGGTGAATTAACCGGAATAAGTGACTCGCGTCTCAACTGTTTCGCAAGTCATCTTCGATCTCATCTTGCTAGTGGGAACCAGTCAACAGCTTCAGTTGACTCGGCTGATTTTTCTGAAGTTCGTTTTCCACAATCGAAGAGTTCGCGTACAAAGAAAAGCCAGATCTATCAGGGCGGTTTGAGCCCTAGGCCAAGTTCTTTCAAAGAGGGTCTGCAAAAAAGTTTGTCTTCCTCTATAAGGAGTGCGGCCAGAGAAAAATTGAGGCGTCGTGGGGAAGATTTTGTTTCATGTGTTGACAGTTTATCTCTTTCTTCATCAAAAAGTACCGATCCATCTATTCAATTTCAGAAAGACACACTTTCTGAATTGAACGGTACACTCCCATTTGATGCATTGAATTTGTCGGTCCCCGAATTACCGTTGTCAAGTCAAGCTCCTTTCACTCCTCACTACTGCTATTGCCCTCCCGTTACATCGGCACTACACTACACCAAAGGAAATCCAATGCTACCCTTTTCATCAACTGAACCATTCTCTCTGCCTCCACTTTCTTCTCTGCTAGCATCTGCCAGGTCATCATCATCCAGTCTCTTGACTTCTAAACCATTGCTAAATCTAGCCGATCTTCCGCCTCTAGATTTCCCAAGCTTTCTACCGGAGCCTTTAGTCAGGCTATCAACTTCACAGCAGCAATTGATTCCAACTTTTACACCTTTTATTTGCGACTCGATAGTTCATATTCCAGTGATTGAAATGTGCTCTTCTGGCCAAGGGTATTTGGTCAGTGCAAGCCCTGCTATGACTACCTCGATTCCACCATTAAACCCAAACGCCGAATCTGTGCTGGAAAAAGGTGCTAGAGAGACGCTCCACATGCTCATTAACAGCTCCAACCAACAACCTAATCCGCAATTTCTTGAGGTATTTCCGAGCAGTAGCAGTATTTACAATGGAGACAGAGATATGGATGCTATCACCAATAGCATGTCTACTATGGGGCTTATTTTGCTGTCGGATAAATCTATGGGTGGTGGCAGAGATGATTTGATTGAGCATAACGAGAAGCCTTCTCACTCTGGTTCGTCTGGTTTTGATGAAGGGATAGATTGATTCTATAGAAATAGTGTTCTTTTTTTCTTCCAGTTTGTAGATTTCAGTTTTTTCCATGGAAATTGTATATGGGTTGTCGGTTATGTTCAGGTTTGTAATTGAATAAGGGTCGTTTATATGTAATCATCCATTTTTTTTGAGAAAAGAAAGGTGAAAGTGCAAGTGTTTCTTTTGTGTTTTAGTTTTCGTGCAATTATTGTACGGTGGAGCACGCTTTACAGTACGTGTACAGATAATGAGATACTGCCTACGGTGTTGAAGAAGATGGAGATGAGTGTAAGACTTGAACAATTGGCATCATTAGCGCAGAGGAGTCACTTTATATTGTAATGGTACTATACTAAATGGACTCCACCAAATTGTGTGTCTAACTTCGATTGCAAGTGTTTCTTTGGTTGTTTCAGTAACTTCGATTTCGTATTTTTTTCAAAAGTATGATCTCTCTCCTTTACTTTGGTTATGCTTTTGTAGCGTTAGTTACTTTTTTGGAAAATGTGTTTAGGTGCTTTTATACGTTCGATGATCAGCAAGTTGTAAAATACGAAAGGCATCATCTGATTTCTGATAAGGGAGTCGTCGTATTTGCAGATGGGCTCTTTACTTTTGCGATTCTCTCGGTCAGAATTGCTCGTAAAATTACAATTTTCTCGTCTTACATCACATAGATATTTGTAGGAAAAAAAAAAGAACAAAAAAGTTATGGGGTAAAATTACTCGAGACTAGAGTACTAGTTTAGGGAAATTTACGAAACACTGTCATTTTTTTTAATTCATTTTTCTTTTATTTAAACAATTATTGAATGTTACTAATGTTGATACAACTACACATTACATTTAATTAATTAAAGATAGCATTATTTTATCCGAAATGATACTTACATAGTAAAAACTGATAGGTCATAGAGTAATTCCAATATTTATTATTTTTTCATATTTAAAACTTTTCTTTTCGTCAAACTCCGTGGAACGCTAATTTTCGACTCATACGATAGCATATTTGAGGTAAATTTTATATTTTTACGATTCGTGAATTATGAATATCTCGAATTAAAAATAAATAAATAATGAATTTATGCTATTTTCGTGTTGTAAATAATATGTATAATGGGGGGTTTTTTTTTTTTTTTTTTTTTTTTTTTTTTTTTTTTTATCTTAACCATAGTTTTTTTTTTTATGCTACACCCCGTGAAGACTACACGGGATAATTTTTTATCATTGATCTACCCACACTAATGTGTGTGTGTTAGTGTTAGGGGTGAGATCGGCTCGGATCGGGTCGGTTTTGGCCTCAAACCGAACCTGGAACCGAAATGGTCGGTTCACGAAGAACCAAAAACCAAACCGGTCGGTTCATGTCGGTTCGGTTCTACTCGGTTTTTCGGTTTTTTTTTTCGGTTTCGGTTTTTTTTCGGTTCCTAAATTTTCGGTTCGGTTTCTTAACGGTTCCGGTTTTCGGGTCGGTTTTCAGCCCTTTTTTTTCTCTAAAATAAATCTAAATAAGCCCAAAATATCCTAAAAATAATTCAGCCCATTTGGAACCAACAAAGCCCAAAAAGAAACGAGTTGGGGCGGGTTATTGGGCTGGGGCTGGTTATTGGGCTAGGGCACATTAAAATTCAGAGAAAAAAAAAATCAGGAATATATATTAGGCCCTATCAAAACGACGTCGTTTCGGGTCGGTTCGGTACATCGGCTCGGTTAACCACTTGAAAAACCGAGTGTGAACCGAAAATTTCGGTTCGGCGGAAATAAAAAACCGTATATGCGGTTCTTGCTTCGGGACGGCATACTTCGGGTCGGTTTTTCGGTTTTCGGTCCGGTTTTTCGGTTTTCGGATTTTTTTTCCTCACCCCTAGTTAGTGTGTATATGAATGGTACAGATCTACACGGTGTAGCATTAAATAAGAGACATGTTATTTCCATCCTCAAATATCTTATTTTTCCACCAAATTAAATATATTTTCCATTTTACCCCTTTCTTCTTCTTTCACCTATATTTTTTTTAAAAATTATAAACTAATCTACCACCAAACTAATTAAAATTTAAAAAAAAAACCTCACAATTTTCATTGAAAATCTCTCCCTCTCGTGAATAGTACTTTCGTTAGAGAAAAACATTTTCTAAGGTAAAAAAGAGCAGGAATTCACATTTTTTGAGAAATAAATTAAGATTGTTTATATGAAAGGTCCTGAACTTCCTCCAGAGTTGGCTAGTTTGGATTAATATAATTTCTTTCCTAAAAAGCAAAAATACATAATCTGTAGGTCATTTGATATGGAATTTTAAATATTTCCTTGCAAAGAAATTTAAAAAATAAAATAAATTAATAAAATAAAATAGAAATAACTTAAAACACATGAGGATTAAGTGAGTATAAGAAAGGATGGTGAATTATAAATTTGAGGGGTATTTACGACATTCTATAATTTTTGGGTTGAATTGAGATACTTTGGAGGTGGAAATAACACCACTCTTAAATAAACCTCTTAACCATATTGAATGAAATTAATTAACTTCCAACTAGGTGTAAATTATCCATTATCCCATTTTATCTCTCTACGAATTGTTTCTCTTGTTTTGTTACTTTGTCTGTATATTTTCACTCTCGTTATTTATGTTCTTATGTATAAAATAAAAACGAACATATTTTACCTAATTATATTGTGGATCTTGATCGTCATCCGATGCATTCATTGGACGAACACTCATTTTCCTTTGTAAGTCACTCTAAGAAAATAGGTATGGGAATGATTTCTAATATACAAATTTTTTTTTTCTAATAATAAAGAGGTAAAGGAGAATAAAGAGTGAATTAATGCGAACGGTATTTGTAAAAATAGTACTGCGTTTATCAAGTCCTCTTTGAAAAAAAATGTGTGGAGTGGGATTGATAAAAAGGGTGGGGAGGCCTGTATAGATATTAAAATTGTATGAATTAACTGATTCATTGTGACGTCATTTTCATTTCTCTACGAAGAAAACCCCAAAACGATTTCTTGCAAATTCCCCATTAATGGAAGAAACGAATTCGAAGAAGAAGATCAACTGTACGGAGGGAAGCAGCAGCAGTGGTACTGGAAGCAGTAGCAGTAGCGGCCCATACGACACCGTATGGGAGTGCGTCATCCCGTACGTCAACGACCCGCGCGATCGCGCCGCCGCGTCGCAGGTGTGCAAGCGGTGGTACGCGATCGACGCCATAACCCGCGCGCACGTGACCATCGCCTTCTGCTACTCCGTCACTCCTCAGATTCTTTCACGCCGTTTCCCCCAGCTCGAGTCCCTCAAGCTCAAAGGCAAGCCACGCGCCGCCATGTTTAACCTAATTGACGAAAATTGGGGCGGCTATGTTGCGCCGTGGCTGAATCAAGTCGCCATCGGTTCCTTCCCGAAGATGAAGGCGCTCCATTTTAGGAGGATGATTGTGTCGGATGCAGATCTCGAGACGCTAGCCAACTCAAGAACTGGCAAATCTCTTGAGGTTTTGAAGCTCGACAAGTGTTCGGGTTTCTCTACGGATGGGCTGCTGCATATTGGACGCTTATGCAGGTAAAACGAAAATGGAAATGTTTTATGTGTTCTTTTTTCTTGTTGATGTTTGACCTGTTTGATTTTCAATATTGTTTACTGTGGGTTTGAATTTTGTGTTGTTTCTTCTTGTTGATTATGTATACTACACTTTGCAGTTAATTTGGTTTCCCCTTTTAGTTTACATTATTTAGAGTGGAAGTGATGCTTTCATGTGTCTAAATGGCAAAAATTATTCGAGAGTCTTGATGGATGGGCATATGTCATGAAAGATTATAAGCTTTTGTTTGCGGAAGAGTAATGCACAACGACAAATTGAACATCCGTACATAGGGCACGTACTTGATGTTATTTGAACGAAATGACGACAAAGAACTAAATAACTAGTGCAAAATATGGTGTCGATCACCTTCACATGATATAATTGCTCATTCATATGTGTCTTTAAGTATGAGATGTGATCTCTACAAAGTATGCACTTCTGTTGCACAAGATCATTCAGATTTTCGGGTTAAATAATAATTTAATATTTAAGGAATTAACATATATTGGTCAATTGTTTTGAGTAAGGTTGTATTCAAGTGAAACGTATGATGCAAAAACACCATTCGGAATTCTTCTGAAAGAAAATCCGTAGAAAACTGATTTATTCTTGGTAGTAAAAGAAAAAAAATACAGGCTAGGAGCTTTTAGTGTGGAAGGTAGTCAAAATTGGGATTTTAAGTTGAATCGAAAGACTAGGAACTGCGTTATTACTGTGGAAGTAGCACAAGAACTTGTATCATTGTTAACTTATAAACTCAAGTACCTCAATCAATATTTTAATATATTACCTGTATTTGAACACTTATGCATCTAGTTTACTCCCTTATAACATACAATTGTATTGATGATATTTATCACTTTCAGTTCGACACTACAAAGTCAATCTTGTTATTATATCGATTCTTTTGGGTTTCTCAAACTTAAATTTTTATTTTGTAGGAATTTGAGAACACTCTATATGGAAGAAAGCATGTTAGTTGAGAAAGACAAGGAGTGGCTGCATGAGCTTGCTTCAAACAATTCAGTTCTTGAAAATTTGAACTTTTACATGACTGAACTAACGCAAGTCAAACCTGGAGATATTGAACTTATAGCAAGCAGATGCAAATCTTTGGTATCAGTGAAGATTAGTGATTGTGATATTTCTTACCTCGTTGGATTTTTCCGAGCTGCATCTTCATTGGAAGAGTTTGGCGGCGGCTCTTTCAGTTTGCCTCTCCAACAAACTAATGAAGGTGTTTTTAGTGATCCATTTGAACCGTATGCTGGTGTTGCATTCCCACCGAAACTGTGCGGCTTGGGTCTTACTTATATGGGAAAAGCAGAAATGCCCGTCATTTATCCTGTTGCTTCAAAGCTTAAAAAATTGGATCTCCTTTATTCTCTGCTTGGCACTGAAGACCACTGCGAGTTACTTAAAAGATGTCCAAACTTGGAATTTCTTGAGGTAATTTACCTATGTTGTTATTACATATACGCCTTTCCCTCCTGCAGATGAGTGATTTTATGTGCTCTAAATCTTGTATAATTGGTTCCAAAGATGGGGGGTTCACTGTTAAATTTTAAATTATTTAGAGTTTTTGTTTGTTTAATCCATGTATAAAATGTTTCGGACATGAATGATAATCTCATTGACTTTGTGTTGTCTAGCTAGCTTACCTTTCTTTTTGGTCAATGTACTTTTTCGAGTCCACACTCATCTCCTGATTATTGGTTGAGGACCTCACGCAAACTTAGGTGCACATGCAATACTTGTATTGGCTACTTTAATATCAATCAAGTTTTACCATCCTTTTCCATAAATTCGTACAATGCAACAGACATATTAAATTGTCTCTATTCAGTCCATGATGAACCAGTAGATACAGTACACAAACCCTCGTTAGGAGAACAGTTGATACAGTACAGTACGAAGGAAGGCAGATAGTTAACTATTGCCAAGTATGACTTGATGAGTTAAATAAAGATGCAAATTACTAGGTCTAATAATCTAGTATGATATTCCTTGCTGCCCAGTCGTAAAAGCCTAGCCTTTTAGTTTGTCCTATTGTTTTGTCGATAAACAAGATTTGATTGACTGTAGTGTCATCGTAAAGTATAGCAGACAACTTCAAAACTTTCAGATAATGTCGTTAATATAATATTCCTGGTTTTTTTTCTCCCTCCTAAATGAATAGAATATATAGACTTTTCGAGTAATGTGATGTTGAATGTATTTCAATCTTTATGCAACAGGCAAGAAATGTTATTGGAGACAGAGGACTAGAAGTTCTTGCTCAGTTTTGCAAGGGAATAAAAAGACTTAGGATAGAGCGAGGAGCTGACGAACAAGAGATGGAAGATGTAGAAGGCATGGTCACACAGAGAGGATTGATCGCATTATCCCAAAACTGTCTCGAACTGGAATACTTAGCTGTATACGTCTCCGATATTACAAACTCAGCCTTGGAATGCATCGGCGCATACTCGAAAAACTTATCAGACTTTCGGCTGGTCTTACTCGACCGAGAGGAACGGATTACAGATTTGCCCCTCGACAACGGAGTTCGATCTCTCTTAAAAGGCTGCGATAAGCTTCGGAGGTTTGCTTTGTATCTCCGCCCAGGGGGGCTAACAGATGTGGGGCTGAGTTACATAGGACAGTACAGCCCAAAAATAAGATGGATGCTTCTTGGTTATGTCGGTGAGTCCGATAAAGGTATAATCGAGTTCTCAAAAGGGTGCCCTAGCCTCCAAAAGCTGGAAATGAGGGGCTGTTGTTTCAGTGAGAGAGCTTTGGCTATGGCTGTACTAGGGTTGACTTCTCTACGGTACTTGTGGGTGCAAGGATATAATGCGTGTGGAGATGGGCGAGATCTTTTAACCATGGTTAGGGCTAATTGGAATATTGAGTTGATACCTGCTAGACGACATTTTGTTCATGATGATGAGAGAGGAACCCTAGCAATTGCTGAGGATCATGCTCATATACTCGCCTACTATTCGCTTGCCGGTGAAAGAAATGATTTTCCCAATTCTGTAAGGATGTTCGATCCTAGTGCTTTTAGGAATACGTAGACTTGCAAAAAAGGGATCTTTCAAGGTAATAATATTCATTAATAGCTTTTTGGTTTTCGTTTCTATCCCGAGATTTTTCATGTACGCTCGTTGGTTTTGTGGGTTAATAATGTTTCTTGGGACTGAAGTGTTTCGGGGATTTCGTATTGAACTTAAGTACGTAATTCGGTGGAATTTGGTCATTTTATTGTAGTGAATATGTTTTGTAATAACCGAAATTATGGGCAAATGTAAGTGAATTTCATTGCTGTATAATTCAGTTTACGTATGTATTATTTTGCTGTAGATATCTGCAAGTCGTTATATAAGTTTTTAGTAGCTTGTCTTTTACTGGATAAACTAGTAGAAAAATGGATTTTTACTACGATCATTAATATCAGCAAAAAGTCTCAAATTCGTAGTAAAAAGGTTTTTGCTACACATTGCTACGAATTTGCCCCGTTGCATATACGGGTGTGCCAAAAACTTTGTTATGGTAGATGGTTGTAGCAAATACTTTTTTGCTACGGTAAAGATTGTCTCGTAGTAAAAGGTATCTTTTGTTATGGCTCTTTACCTTAGCAAAAAAAATTCGTAAAAAAACCATTTTTCTACTAGTGATATTAACTGGGATTCTGACAAAAAACTTGAATCTTTGGGTCGAAGCAATCCAATTAAATCTCCAAATTAATACAGGGGTCGAGACCGAAAGAAATTATTATTCAAACGAGTTTCTTCTGTAATTTAAGGGGGGAAAACAACAAATCTTACAATGATTGAGGCCAAATTGACAAATTGTAGTCCAAACTTTATTCACAAGTCTATTCCTCTGAGAGGTCTACAAATAAAATTACAAGCTGCATTCTTGCAACAAGAATGAACAAATATATATGTATAAATAAATCTTGTACTAAATCACAAAGAAAATGGAATTAAACATGTGTGTGTGTGTGTGTTTAACTACTGGTGGTCAACATTTAGGAAGATCAGAAGGAGGAGGTAAGATTGACTGATTTGGACCTTTTCCATTTTCCACTACAAATGCCATCTTTAGACCCCAAGTTGTATGTATTTCCAAATGACAGTGCAAAAACCAAACCCCTGCAAAAACATATATGTTCTTTATGGTACTAAGAAGAACAAACAACTAATGAACAAATGGAAATATTACCTGGATTGTCTGCCCTGAATCTTATGGCTGTCCATCCACCTGTCGGTACACTTATCGTGTTCCTCTCAATCGGATCGACGAGATTGAAACTTTTCGGATCATTTTTAGGATCGTAATTCCCTATCCCTTTCCCCACAACGTAGAAGTTAAATCCATGCAAGTGCGTCGGATGGCTCTCGGGTGCTATTATAGCCGTCCCCTGCAAAACAATCTGAACCGTCGAATTATAGCCCAATCTATACACTTTCGTCCCGTTTGTTGTCTGCATGTTCGTCGGTGGGCTTCCCGTGTAGTTGTAAGGAACGGGCGGATTTCCCGGGAAATCATCTGTGTACACTCCGCTTACGTTGTAATAATGCGCTTGAAGGATCGCCGTGGTGGGCATAACAAAGGTCACGTTGTTTATATCGGCCACCACTCGGCTCCCATTGACACATGTACCGCACGGGTTCACTCCAACGCCTATTGCTAACAAGAGGGAATGATCGATGGTTTTTGGTACATTGGCCGGATATTTTCTTGAATTGAGGCTTCGGAGCGAGTCCATAAAGTTTGTTGTTACTTTTGTTGCATTCTTCGAGGGCATTGTGGTTAGGGTCGTTGGGGAAGAGGCGGCGGCGGATAAAGTTCCGTTGTAGCGTAGTGTTGCGGTCGCGGTTTGGCTGTCGGTGGCCACTATGGTGTCCATGAAGGGGGATATGGCGATTTGGTAATTTCCGATTTTTCGATCGGCTTTTAGGAGGGCGTTTGTGGTTTGGCCTGGCCCGATGAATATTGTGTCCGTTCTGAAGGGTTTTGTGTAGGTGGCGTCGACCTCGACGATCGTCATTTGGTGGCCCGCGATTTTGAAGAAGAGCTCTTCGTTGACCGCCGCGTTGACTATGCGCAGCAGGTACGTCTTCCCACTTTCGACGTACATAGTGTAGCCTGAGAGAGAGAGAGTACGTTTTGTTCTTCAAGTTCATGAATCTATTCTATTAGGTAATTATTTTCTATGTTAGTAGATTTATGTGAAATTTAGTACATAGTTTAGAGTTTTATCCCAACTCCATATGATAGAGTCAGTTGATTCAGTATTGTATCTCTGTATATTTTGACTGACTATTCTATAAAATAACTGTTTGGTTATTCTGTCTGATTGGATTCTGGCTTGTCCTACTTTTGTATTCTAACAGCAACAAAGAAGTATTTATTCGATACACGAAAAAGAGAAGAAGAGAAAAGTCGATCATTTGTTATGTACCCTTACCCTTAGAAGAGCAATTAGGAGCGGGCCCCGTTTGTCCGTTGATCGTGTGTGCGTCAGACACGTTAGGCGGCTGTCCTAATTTCATAGCCTGGTTGATCACCATCTCCACATCCGACTTCCACCATTCTCCTATATATATATACACTATTAACGGTTTACAAAAATTCAAATTCTAGCGAAAACTATTCTACATACATATATATAAACAAATAAATTGGATTAAGTCTAATTACTAACCAAATACGATTATCTCTTCCTTGTCGGGTTTAGGAAACGGATAAGGAACACCGCGTTTGGGCAAAATGACGATAGCGCCATGCACGGTTGCTCTTTGCCAGTTTATATGCGCATGCCATAAAAGTGTTCCCCTCTGCCCCGTGAGGGTAAAGTTGTAAATATAGCTCTGACCCGTCTGAATCGGGCATTGGGTTATATATGCTGGCCCATCGGCCCAACCGGTCCGCAACTGTCTAATTCCGTGCCTAATATACATATATATAGCAAACTAAGATGTTAAGCTATAAACAACTCATTTAAAAAAAAAAAGTTAAGGTTGTTAGTTAATCGGACCAGTGGAATGTAACATTGTCTTTAACGTGATTAACGACCCTCACAACCACGGTATCGTCTTCCCTTGCGTACAGAGTGGGTCCCGGAAACTTCCCGTTTACCGTGATTATGGGCTTGCTTGCGCATAGCTTGCTAGTGTTTTTCTTTACCACCTGCACATAGAAGAAATATATTGTGCCAACGACAGTTTTTGTATCTATCATTCTTGAAATTAAATCAATAATAAACACAGTTATCGATTAATGTACTTACGGTGAATTTGTAGTGCCGAATTCTTGACTCAACGAGCGAAGGTTTCCATAATAAAGCTGCGACGAGCATCATAACTAGAAAACGGAACACCATCGTGTAATTAAGTCTTTTTGTTTTTTAATTCTTAATCGTAAATTGCCTGTACTTTCGGACATTACATATATATATATATATATACATTTGATGATGTGTCGTTGTACTTGGGTTAGGTGGAAAGAAGGAAATAGCCATGCAAGTTTTCTTGTATATTACATAAAGTAGTTACTGATTTGCTTAAGAAGGGTACTGTTGTCATTTTTTTCAACGGAAAATGGCAACGATTATGAGAAGAAGCAGCATTCCGAAAGCTACATATCCTCTGTATACTCATCTTTCAGACAATAACTCTTCTTCTGTAGCTGCTTTCGTAGTTAGTCGATTACTAATTTTCGTTTTTTTTTTTGTGTGTGTGTGTGTGTGTGTGTGTGTAAGGATTTTTAGTTTCTAGTCATACTTTAAATTGTTTTGCAATCAACCTCAAAGAAGACAACACAACTTATCCAAAACAAGTGTGATTGTAATAAGAGCTAACTCATAGGGCTGCTTACAATACCAAATGTCATCTAGAAGATGTAGAGAGTTCATTAATTATTAGTTGAGAAATAATTTTCATTTAAAGGTAAAATACATGCTTAATGGATGATTAGATGAAGTTATAAGCAACAAGCTTATAATCGAAAGGGATCAGGTATATCAGCTCGAATTCACAATTACGAAAAAAACATAGATAATTAAGGGCTTGTTTGTGTTTCCTAAAATTTAACTTTAACGAAATCGAAATCTTAACAAGATTTTTCGTTGTGACATACAAACGGAAAAAAATAATAGAATCTAAGAATCAAGCACTTTTTCTTGGTTGATTTCTTATAGCCTTTGCAAGAATGCAGTGATCCAAAAAAACAAAATGTAGAAGAAGAAGTCGAAAAAACAATTCATCAATTCTTTAGAAAATACTAAAGCTAGTGTTAGTGTCAATGATTTCGTCGAAATAATTACCGACCAAGCACTTGAAGGCGGCATTACCTTCATGCAACCTTGTCTGAAGAGTGAGAAGGGGGTGATTGTATATATTTTATTTACATGGCCTACACAATTTATCGAACGACCTTTATTTGGCGCGTCGATTGATGCTGAAGAATTCAGACCAGAGATCGAGATGGATCAAGAATGGAATTTCTTTTTTCAACTCCAATCGTCTTTCAAATTTGTTGCATTTGATTGTCCAAGTATTTACATATATACATCACTGCCCCATTCAAAAAATATAAATACTATGGTGGCTTACCCTTGGTAATATTACGGTGGTTTGATTCGATTTTTCAGGCAGCTGGCCGTCGAACTTGTCTGGGGAAAGACTTCGCTTATCGACAAATGAAGACTGTGCACTTGCTCAGATTTTAATTGAGTGATGAGACTAAGAATTTGACATACTGAACCATGCTTACCCTTCATATCAATGGAGTGATGAATATTCATGCAAACACATAATTTGTAGTAAATAATATGTCTAATGATTTCCTATCTTAACCCACTAGTAGAAAAATAGCTTTTCACTACAATCATTACCCGTAGCAAAATGTATCAAATTCGTAGTAATATGCTTTTGCTATGCATTTGAAACGAATTTGCCCCGTAGCATATACGGGCGTGACAAAAGCTTTGCTACGGTAAATGGCCGTACCAAATACTTTTTTGCTACGGCAAATCCTAGTATTTACTACGACTTCAAAATTGTTCCGTAGTAAAAAATACCTTTTATTACGGTTTCTTACCGTAGCAAAAAAATTCGTAGTAATAAGCAAATTTTCTACTATTGACCATATTGAAGGAAGTTAATTAACTTTCCATTAGGTGTAACTTACCAACTATTCTATTACTTTATCTATGACGTGTGTAGCAAGTAACTTCCCATGTAACTCCTCTTATGTAACTTCTCGCTGGTTTACGCCGATATAAATGAGAATCTCCCCTCCCCTAAAAAAACCCCACAACTATCTCTTTAAGGATTTGTTGTTCATTTACTTTCTCTTTATTTGTATTTTCATTTTTGTTATTTCACAATCACCAAACCAAATAGCTAGTAAAATAGACCATTTTACAACACGTTATCAACACGAAGTGCTCAACGTGACTGTGGCAAGACAATCGTTCGTGGAGCGAGTATAGTTGAAGAATTCAAGGTGCTCGTGGAAAGGTAATTGTTCGTAGGACAAGGATACTTCAAGAACTTATAATTTCGGTTTCGTTCGTGAAATGGTGATCTCGATGAACGTATGATATTCTTCTTAATACTTGGATTTAAGCGTTTCAAGTAAGCCTTAATCTCTAATTTCGATTTCGTAAGAGATGCATGCTAGATATATTTAATGGCATGAAATGTATGAAGTATATATTTTTGATGTCATTACTTCATTTATTCCACGATGATCCTGATAAAATGTCATGTATTGGGTATAATCCCCTAATATTTCTTTTAGAAATTAGAATTACTACGAACATATCTAAATGTCAGGGGAACTCAACTCGTATACGTATTTCTTGTTAGGTACACGTTCTTCCAAACAAAGCCATAGATCTGTAAACAACAGTTAGATAACACAGAAGGTAAAATGGAACAGAAAGAGTATAAAATGAAGAACGGCTCAGTTCCCTATTTCCAGTGTTCAACTGTAGATCCAAGGTCTGGTGGTAACACCAACCGAAAACAAGCACCAAGCACTGCCACTGATCGAAACCCTAGACCTGACCCCAAACCTCACTCCGAGTTGACTCACCAACACATGCACAGTCAACTCGGTGATAACTCACCCTCTCCACTCAGCACAAACCCAGTTTTCTGCACACACAAAGCCGAAACCCTCACAGAAGAGGATTAAGACCAGAAATGAAGGGGTTTGAATAAAAGGTGAATCACGCTTGTCTCTCTCTCTCACCACAGTATAAATACACGGAGTTTCAACGGTCTTCAGCATTAAATGTGCTGCGACGGTAAGTACACCCATTGTCCGGCCGGACCTGCGAAGGTGTCGCCGGAAAACGACAAGGGGTGACGATACACTGTAGAGAGAGAAGGGGACAAGGGAAGAGAGAGAAACGGCGCAGCAGAACAAAGCTGCTAGGGTTGAGAGAAGAAAGAGGAGTGGGTAAATGGAGGGCTCAGATTGAAGCCCTCTATCCGACGGTCAAGATCTAGGTTTGACTGATCAGTGGGCTTAAGTAACATTGGGCCCGATTTCCCAAGTTGGGCTTTGAATTAATATAGCTATTGGGCCCAGATCACAACAGATCATTTTATGTGGGCTCAATACTTAACAATTCTCCACCTGAGACCAATAAAAGGATCAGTATGACACACACTTAATGGACTGGGATCATCATTGCCGTAACTGTGAATCTTAAACACTAATCACACAGGTTGTAGTAGAAGATTCACACAGTATTTTTTCCACAAAGGAGGTAATCACCAAGATAAAACCAACACTTAACATCACATAGAAGTTAAGACAAACAAATAAAGCAAGCAATCACATAGAAAGCATCAACAGACTTGCACAAAGCAAGCAGACAAACACATGTCTGTTTTTAATCATGTTTTGAGACAATGTTCAAGATTCTCAAACATGATCTCAATTTTTCCACAGGCAGGCACTTAGTGCCCATGTCAGCAGGGTTGAATTCAGAAGGAATTTTCTCCAGGTCTATCTCACCCTTTTTCACCACTTTCCGGATGAAGTGGTATTTGATCTCAATGTGTTTTGTTCTGTCATGAAAGACAGGGTTCTTGCACAATTGTATACCTGATTGGCTGTCAGAGAAAACAACAACTTTACCTTTCAAGAAGCCAATTTCTGAGAGCAGCCCTTTCAACCAGAGAGATTCTTTTATAGCCTCTGTGGTTGCAATGTATTCAGCCTCTGTGGTAGAAAGGGCTACAATGTTTTGAAGTTGAGATTTCCAGCAAATACAAGAACCACACAAAGTAAACACATAAGATGTGGTGGACTTCCTATTATCTCTGTTATTAGCATAATTAGAGTCTACATAACCACATAAGACAATTCCTTTTTCACACCTAGAAAATTCAATCCCAGTTCTAGCAGATCCTCTCAGATATCTCATTAGCCATTTCACAGCCTCCCAATGAGGCATGCCAGGATTAGCCATATATCTACTCAAACAGCTAACAGCATATGCAATGTCAGGCCTAGTACTTACCATTAAATACATTATAGAACCAATTGCATTTGCATAAGGAACAGATTTCATATCACAGATTTCAGGTTCAGTCTTTGGGGACTGTTCCTTACTTAGCAAGAAATGAGCAGCTAGAGGCACAGACACAGACTTGGCATTTTTCATGGCAAATTTATCTAAGATCTTTTCAACATAGGCAGATTGGTTCAGAAACAAAGAACAATCTTTCCTATTCCTGATTATGTCCATTCCCAGAATTCTCTTAGAGTCACCAAGAAATTTCATGTCAAAGTTTTCACTTAAGCATTTATTAACATGATCAATAGCCTTTAAACAGGGACTAGCAATAAGCATATCATCAACATAGATCAATAGGAACACAGGAGATTGACAGTCATCTTTGAAATACAAGCAAGGATCAAATTCACTTCTTTTAAATTTCAAAGAGAGCATGCAAGAGTCAAATTTTTTGTTCCACTGCCTAGGAGACTGTTTAAGGCCATACAGAGACTTCTTCAACAAACAGACATAATCAGGTTTATCAGAATCAACAAAACCTTCGGGTTGAGACATGAAAATTTGCTTATCAAGATCACCATGCAAAAAAGCAGTTTTAACATCCATTTGCTTAAGTTCCCAATCAAAATGAGCAACTAAGGCAAGCAAAATTCTGACAGTGGTGAATTTAACAACAGGAGCAAAAATTTCAGTATAGTCTATACCCTCTCTTTGTGTAAAACCTTTAGCTACAAGCCTAGCTTTATATCTAACAGAATCAGATTCATGCTTAACTCTAAACAGCCATTTGCATTCAATCAAAGAGCACTTAGCAGGTTTTGGGACAAGAGTCCAAGTATGATTGACATGCAGAGAGTTAATTTCCTCTTTCATAGCAGATA